CCCCAAGTTAAGCACGTGTATGTCGTCCTCATTGCAGATACATAAAAACCCCAAAACAAAGTGCAGCAAACCACTAATTCAGTTATTGCGTTTTTTTTTTTTTTTTAATGTGAAAGCTAAGACTAGATAAGAAAAAAAAATGTCATAAGATCTGTTTCTAATGTGACTTGGACATTATGAGTTGCAAAAATTGTTACACAGGAATATTATTTGGAGAAATTTTAAATACTAGCGTTTATTTTAAAATAGAAGAGTTAAAACTGGTGGACACCTGTGCCTAGCTTTGTTTTGTACATTTTAATTTGAGCTTACGTATCGTTTTTCTCCATCTATTATGGTGCTTGCTTCATTAACAACGTAGTTTTTTTCTTCTCTTTTAATATGTTGATTTGAAAGTGAGATTGTTTACTTCGTTAATTCTCTATTAAAGTAAGTTTAGGACTTTTACGTTTGCATTATATTAAAGAAATTTGATAAGTGTAAATGTAAAACATTTAGCTGTCAGATAACAATAAAGTGATTTATATGAAGGCTAATTAAAGGGGGAAAAAAAGTCAAAGTTTCATCTTTGTACTTTTGGTATTAGGTGCAGTTTTAACCCAGAAACCTAGATTGAGAAATAAATTCAACTATGAAGAATGTAGGTTAAGTGCTGCCTTTGGCAGATAAGTACCATTAATTGTAGAATTTTAGAGCTGGAGAAATCTTGGTGATCATTTCATACAGTGACCTTATTTTATAGTGGGAAAATACTGGCCTAAGGACTAGCTACTAGATTGTTAAATTTGGAGAATATTTAAACTTAGTTTTAGTATTTTTTAAGGCATAGGAAGATGATGACCCAAGGGATGTCATGATTAGATGGGAAATTTGTGACTTTCCTTTTTTTTTTTTAAACTCTTGGTCTCTTTGAGTTTGGAGGAATAAAAAAAGGCACCCTAATTTGCTAATAAAGTGCAGAGAACGAAGTTCAAGAATTTGGCCAGTTTCTTTGAAAGTTAGTCATAGAGCCAAGATTAAAAGCACACCCTTGAGTATCAGAATGACTTTTATTTACATAATGTCAGTCCGAGTAACACCTTTTTTGCTTACTGAGCCATGCTGCCCTCATAATGCCCCTGTGAAGCTGCCTAGAGCAGGGTCAGCTAGCAAGCCCGGGGCGGGGTGGGGTGGGGTGGGGGTGGTGAACAAGTGAAATAACAAGAGAAGTCTTACTGTGTCCCTAAGGGCAAGAGAAAAGACAAATGTTGTTATCGTAATTCTTCCAACCTATAGTAGTTTGTCTTACAGTAGTAGAGCCTTTCTACTAATGGAAATTTCAAAAAGATAAAGCTGTCACTTAGGATTCAGTGGTTTAATGACTTGCAAAGGAGTTGAAGCCTTAATGTTTCAGGCAGTGCGAAGGTGGACCTTCTAAAATTTGCCTTGAGATAATGGAAAGAGAAACATGACATTAAAGCACTTTTAGCTTCTTGGAAGTAAATGTGATATAAAATGATGGTGTGAAGGTTGTACTAAAAGTTGTAAGGCTACACTTAAAATGCAGAATGCACATAAGGCAAGTATGTGTTTCAGCACTTACATAATAAATGTCACTTTTTGTTTTTAAAAAAGTTCATTGACTTGTCATTTACTAAAGTTTCTGTAAGAATGTATAATTATTTTAGGTAAATATAAGTGTAAAACCTGATGGGTTCATGATTTGACTAAATAAGCTAACAGTTTCTATGTTTTATCATTTGTCCCTCACAATAACTCTCTGAGATGAGACTGTCATTATGTCCATTTTCAAGCATGGAAATTTGGGTTTAGAGAAATTAAGCAGCCTTCCCCAAATCACAGACCAGTAAGTGATAGAGCCAAGAGTTTAACTCAGAGTGTTAGACTCCAAACCCAAGTAACTACTACAAGTTGCTGCTTCGCTTAACTAAACTCCAGCTCCATAAAATGCCACTCCTATTTGTGCTTGATAACTTTTCTTCAGTTTTCTTAACCATGGGTAGATATTAATGGTAGACTAAGAGTAACCATTAGTAGTAGAAAAATCAAAGAAACTCAGAATTTTAGCTGAATGATTATTTAGTGAAGTCTGACCTCCTAATATAATAGACTAGAAAACTGAAGTCCAGAAGTTTACTGACACTTAATAGCTATAAAGCTGTGATTAGAAGTATGCAAGATTTTAGGTTAAACATTAATAAAATTCAGTGATTCTAACCAAAACATTCTTATACAGCATATCAGATTTTTATTGCATTTGAATAAAATTTTTAAAAGCATTTCATTAGTTGCAAGTTTCTTTTAAATCTTTGTATTTGCATCCTAAGTACTTTGCATAGTGCCTGCTTGGCACATAAAATAGGGACCAAAATTTCTTCAGTCTAGTTTTAGGACTGAAATCATGTATAACTTATGATATGGTAATTTTTAAGTATCTCTGAATGTTTCTTTACTGGGAACATTTACTGTATCCTCAATAATATTAGACTTTGATTTCCATATAGCTTTTGAAGAGCTCTCTCTCTCTCTTTTTTTTTTTTTTTAATTGTTTCAGCTTTGGAAATCTAGATAAACCTAGTAAAGATTTAATATTATACAAACAAATGAAAGATCTAAAACATTAGGGTATACACTGAAAATTATTTACCAAAAACTGAAATAAGTGGAAAGCATTTGGAAAATGCTTCTTAATAGAAGCCTTATGATTTAGTTAGAATGCACAGAAGATAAGTTATTGCAAGTGTTCATAGTATACTACTTGTTCCTATTTGAGAATTCAACTCATTTTCTACTAAGAAAAATTTGGTTTCACCCATTTTATATTTTACTTCATAAGTTAATCTTATACTTTGGTATCTAACCCAATCTAACTTTTGTCTTTTGTATAGTTAATCTTCTTTAACTTTTCTGCTTATTTAAAAGGGAAATAATGTTTAAAAGATGTGAAGCATTTAATCCTTAAATGCTGGAAGCACTTTTAAAGTGTTATAACCACATCTGTATTACATTACACTGGAAAAGAATGTCTGTTCTTTGTCCTATGGGCACTAGGGTGTCTGGTTTAGGATAACTGAGTATTTTACATTTCAAGTTTCTTTTCAACATAAAAAACATCCTGTGATTATAAATGAATGATTTAATTCCAGGAGTGAGGTGCGTGGTCAGGCAAACATAAGTAAGGTTTTGGTTTTACAGTTGTCCTCTCACTTGTCATGTACTTCTTCAGTAAGTTTTATAACATTTTTTTTAAGCACTGAAATATTCCCTATTTGAAAAGCTGTTGCATGAGACAAACTTAGAACACAAGAGAGGTAACTCCATCAAGGGTTCTTAATAACCGTCCGGCATGTCTGTCTTAGTTGTGAGAGCAAGTAATTTGTTACTGATTAAGAAATACCAAAGTTTGTGACTTTATTGATTCTTAAAAACAAAATTATAGCAGATTCAAATGTATCCTAACGATAGCTTCATTCTTGATCACCTACATTCCATTGTGCTTTCTCGGATGGGAGAGAAAAGGATGGAGTTACAGCTGTCATGCTGGACTTCCCATGGCATGTGCGTTTTGCATGGAGACATCATCTGACATTGGTAGAATAGAGAAAAAAGTTGGAGAACTTCTGCACTACACTGGTGGGCATGTTCTCAGCTTTTTCGTCTTTGACATGACAGGTATTATTCACATGCCAACATATTTCCATATGCAACCCCTAGTGAACGAGCTGAAATTCCATCCCTATTTCTCCCATCACAGAAAAACCAGAGAAGTGAAATGTTATGAAGATTCATCCTTAATCAACTCAAATTTTTTTTAAGTAATGACTTGAGAATTTCATACTTTAAGGAACATTGTTGTTAGTTGCCATGAGGTTGCTTCCGACTCATGGCGACCCCACGTACCACAGAACTAGGTGTTGCCTGGTCCTGCGCCATCTTCACAATCATTGGTATGCTTGAGTCCATTGTTGCAGCCACTGTGTAGTTTGAGTGCCTTCCAACCTAAGGTGCTTATCTTTCAGAACTATATCGGACAGTATTCTGTTTTGATCCATAGGGTTTTCATTGGCAAATTTTTGGAAGTGGATCACCAGGACTTTCTTCATAATCTTAGTCTGAAAGTTCTATTGAAACCTGTATTTTTAAGCCATTGAAAGCCTTACTTTGTCCTTAATGCAATAGCAACAGGCAAGCCACTACAGTACAACAAACTGACAGATGGACGGTGTACTTTAAGGAATAGGGGTATCTAATTAGATCCTTTGGTGGCACAGCTAGTTTGCACTCAGCTACTAACCTAAAGATTTGGTGGTTTGAACCCACTAAGCATCACCTTGGAAGAAAGGCTTGGCATTCTGCTTCTGTAAAGATTACAGGCATGGGGTCGCCATGAATCAGAATCAGCTCAACAGCAACGAGTAGTATCTGATTACATGTGACACATATGACGTCTATGTCATGATACCAAGATTGATAAACTTCATATTTCTTCAGTTTTGTACTTCTGCTCCATTTAAAAGCCCCAAATATATATATATTTTTTAATTTCAAAATAAAGGGAAGTTAATTATATGACAATGTAAATTTCTAGAAACCATTTATAAAGTTTTTACAAAAGTATTTTATAACCAACAATTTTAAATCTGTACATTTAGGAATTATTTATCATGGGACAGATAATAAATATATTTTAGGATTTGGGGGTTTTTAGGTAATTCTTCTATTCAGGAAAAATCCATGGCATATTAAACATAGCTATTTTATAAAAGTCTGCATTCCTTACTTGATATGAAAAATAGCAGTTCTAGAGCTTTTGTAACGTCAAACTATTTGATAATACTTTCGATGTAGTTTTAGAACCTCAATAATAATAGTTCTTCTACCTGACTTTCTTAGAATGTATTAAACTTATTTTAAGTAAATACTTACTGAATTAATGTGATCGCCTTTTTTTTTTAATTTGTGAGTCTTTTTTAATATTGTTTGACTTTTCTATTAAAAAGTTATTATGAACTGGATCCTTGTAGAAGTCTCCTAGACAATTTGAAGAACAAAGTGATTATTGAGTACCCAACATTACATGTGGTATTGAGAGGATCCAGTACCGACATGAAAGTTCTTCAGCAAGGTAAGTGTTCATTTGTTCCTGTAATGCTGTAGAATAACTCTACTATAACTGAAGCAAGTGCATGAGTGCCCTAATTTTTTTATATATGTGTTTTCCCACTATGTTAACTTACTGAGTTTACTCTGTATCTATAATTAATACTCTGAAGAACTAAATGAATGAGCTGCTGCTTCTATCCGTTTGAGAGCATGTAGGCTTATAATACCGATTTAAAGTGAATGAATCAGATTGATTATCTGGCAATAAAAGGACATTCTTCGCCTTATTGGTGTTCTGTGTGTTTTTCTCTCTCTTTTTTTAAGCTAATAGTCTTTAAGTAATGTGCTATGTAATTTGTCTATGCTCAGATAAATTTACTTCCTAGTTAAAACTCTTTTTTTAAAGGTTCCTAAAATTAGGAATTACAAAATGTTTCTAGTATCTTATATAAAGAGATAATGTTACAAGGAAGATTATCTTTAAAATTTTGGTTGCATTTGCCTTGATCCTTTATCTTCTTCTTTAAACCCACGGATTTTATCTTCCTTGATTTTGTTTCCTTGGTCATATTCCTTAGCGTTTTAGTGAGTCTTTAAAAGTAGGTAATATTTTTCCCTTTTTGGTAAGTAGTGAAATTGGAGGAAAGGAAGTATGAGAACTGGAAAAGGTATGTGTAAAGAATTAGTGTATAAAATTACTTCTCCTTATTTGCAGCTACTAATTAAAGTAGGCCAGTTGTGTTTCTGAATGCAAGATCCTAGAGGATGAATAAAATTCTTTAGTAATCACTTTAAAAAGGGGAGAGAGTTTATCCAACTTTACTCAAAACTGTTAGGTAGAACTTTCAGCTAAGAATTTTAAGTACAGACCAAGTTTCATTGTAACAAACTCCAGAGGACCATAGAATCCTTGAATCGAACTGTTATTTTAAAATAATGAATGTTACTTGAAATATATTGTTCAAGCTTCATTGTTATACTAGCTTTATAGGATATAGCAGGCAGTAACCTATGTTGTGAGTTTTCTTTGTACATGTATATAGCTTTTTCCTTAACAAAAGTTAATAGAAATTTTTTTTCAGAGTGGCCAAAATTTTTGTCAGTGCCACAGTTTCAAACCAAATTTTAATTAGCAAAAGTGAAATTCCTAATAATAAGTTAAGAATCTCTAAATGTTATATTTATTCTTGACTATATATTTTGCACAATTTAAGAATATTCAATTTTATTTTCTCAAAGTAAATTAGAAATTTCAGTTTTAAATGACCCATTTCACTTTTTTAAAGCTGTTTGAAACTTTACTTCTTCCTTAATATAACTCACATAGCTCTCTTTGTAAATGTTGGTTTCAGGGAAATTTGTTCAGTAATGTGGGTTACTAGCCAGGGCAAACATTGTCTGTGTAAATAAACACAGCACACACAGCTTCTCTTTTACCTTGTTTAGGAATGCACATTGAAGTAAGGCTTCCTGTAATGAAGCAAAAAGAAAAGCCTACTTTTGCTAGTGTATTTGGAACCTAATTAAGTAAAATGTATTTTCTGATGGATATATGATGCTTGACTTATGTACAGGAAGCACAGGTGACTCGTGCTTTCAGTACAGAGGATCACTTAGAGCTGCTGGGCAAAGAACTAACAAGAATCGGAAGAGATTTTAAGGACCATACCAATGTTGTCATGTCATGAGGACACACACCCTAAATATAATGCCAGGGCTTCCTGTACATGCGTATCTTTGTGTGAGCACTTCACAACGTTGAATATTCTGCAGGATGCAGGAAGGGGTAAACAAGAATAGGACATTTACTTTGGAAAGCCTTGAAATTCCTTCCCTCTCTAGAGGCAAAAAATGTTGGGTTTGATCCTGAGTTCATAGTACAAGGTGTCTGTCTTCTAGTTTGGGGGGAAATACGGTTCTGGGCTGAGATTCAGTAGTTTTAACACTTGGGTAGTTATTATAATGTTTGTTTGGTTACAGATTGCCATAATATACTTTTTCAGAAATCAGCCTGTGCTGATGGACAGTAGGCAAGTTTTGTTTGTTTGATTTTTGCTTTTTAAGGAATGAAGATGGTTGACTCTAAAGGTTAAGCAGTCAAGGTAGCACACTGTAATGGAGATGTCAAGTGGTGCTTACTTACCCGCCTTGTATCAGTCCATGGGAAGTGCTCAGAATGGTGTTACTTGGTTCACAAACCTTTGCTGGCCAAAGTGAGAATTGCAGATTTAAATTATTTGATAAAAGGATGCTGCGTTTCATTCCAAAGAATGGAGCCTATTAAAAGAAGAAAACTGGCAATGTCAGTAGGCAAAGAAATGGGAATATATTTCTCCAAACTGCCAAACAGTACAAAGCTCCATTCATTTAAAAATATCAGCAAAATATATTTCTCAAAGAGCCCTGGTGGTGCAGTGGTTAAGCGCTCAGCTGCTAACCAAAAGGTTGGCAGTTGGAACCCACCAGTCGCTCCATGGCAGAAAGATGTGGCAGTCTGCTTCTGTAAAGATTTACAGCCTTGGAAACCCTATGGGGCAGTTCTCCACTGTCCTATAGGGTCACTATGAGTTGGGATCAACTCAATAGCACACAACAACAGCAACATCACTGTCCTAATACAACTAAGATTAGAAAGTGATTCTGCCTTTTGAAAAGGAGTCAAACCCAAAATTGATTATTTGAATTAGTGGAAATATCTGGCATAGCAGCTGCTTCTGTTCAACTCATACATCAGTCTCTTGTTGGCCAATAAATCCTTTCACCATTCTCCCTCCCTTTCTCTTCCCCCATTCCTCCTTACTCCTCTATCTTCCTTTTTTTTTCTGTGTATGCGTGTGTGTGTGTGTGTGTGTGTGTGTCTGTGGGGTATGGGAAAGGTGAGGGAGGTGGATCTCAGGCACAAGAACACACATGTAAGCTTTGTAATGAAATAGGTGCTGTAATAGAGTTTGCATAAAGTGCTGAGGAGACCAGAGGAGAAAGCAGCTAACTTGTAATATCATAGAGACAGTTGAAGGATTCTGCTAGAGTTTATAAAATTCCACAAGAACGGGGACCATATCCTGGTTGGAACCTATTCCAGTGCCTTACTCACAGAGCTGTTGTTGTTAGCTGCCATCGAGTTAACCTCTAACTCATGGTGACCCCATGCACAATGGAATGAAACACAGATAGGGTGGGCTCCGTAAACACCAGTGTGGTTGTCGGTACAGTCTAAAATCTAGGTACCATCAGCAAACCCCAAGGAACTTGGCAGTTGGAATATGAGGCAAAGGTCCAAGTTACGGTTCTAGCATCAGTTCTTATTAGCTGTGGGCCCTAGAGCATTCACTGTTCCTCTGAGCTTTACTTTTCTTATCTGTACAAAGGAGGTAGACAGCTGTGAGCCTCAAGCAAAATAATCTGTATTTTAAACTCAGCACCTTTCAAATTGTTTTTATATATTATTTCCTTTTGGCTTCATAATTTAAAAAAAAACAGTTTCCATCAAGTCGATTTCAACTCCTGGCAACCCCACGTTTGTAAGAGTAGAACTGTGCTCCATAAGGTTTTCGGTGACTGATTTTTCAGAAGTAGATCACCAGGACTTCCTTCTGAGATGCCTCTGGGTGGACTCAAACCTCCAACCTTTTGGTTAGCAGCCAAGTGTATTGAGTGTTAACTGTTAGCACCACCCAGGGACGCTAGCTTCATAATATAGCAAAATTAATAGAGCTGTCACTCTGGTTCCCGTTTTACAGATATGGCAAGAAAAAACAACTAAAATAGAGACAGAGTGACTTGCAGTGCTGTTGATTCAGCAAACATTGATTGGGTGCTTACTCCATGCTGTGCTGTGGGGATGGATATAGGGTGGAAAAATCCAGTCTCTGTCCTCAAGGAACTCAGTTTAGTGAGTGAATTTGCTGTCTTGCTCATTCTAGGCAAAACAAGACCTTTGACTCCAGTTCTTATTCTTCTTTCCGATGGAAGAAAGGAGATGGTGATTAGTCTTCTGTCAGCCCACATTCAGTCAACATATACTGACCCTCAATTTTAAGTTTAAAAAAAAAATGAAATCATGGAAAAATTTATTCCAACCACAGTTGGCCAGCCTGTACGATCATAGTGATCTATTCAGTGCTCTGAGTATGGGATCATAACCACACCGTGAAGTGACCATTCCTGAATCTTCCACAAAGTCAGGAAGGATGTTACCTCACAAAATATAATTGCCACTTTCAGACATCGTTTCTCTATTTATTGTGGCCAGAATTGTATATCCTGGCTGCCTGGGGACATGACATGGCTTGTCAGCCCTCCTGAACAGTGCTGCTGCTGCGCATTAGAAGGGAGGCAAGAGGGGGAATAACAGAACAGGCTAAACAGAAACAGTATAAACACTTGATTGTATGTTTACTTTTTTTTTCTCAGTGAAAAGTGAATCTACCAAAAACTTTGGCAGTGAAAGTTGAGCATTTCTTCTGGAAGAAGGTGAAAATTCCCAGACAATTGCAGAGGACTATGCATTGGCTGGCTGTTGGAAGATTGGAGTAATGTCAGTGGGTGGTTGGAATTTTGTATTTGTCTGGAAAGTAATTAACCTAAAAAAGTTTGTTTGTTTGTTTGTTTTTTGAAAAAGATGTATTTTCTAGCCTCTTGAATTTACTTGTAAGGCCCTTCTTCATATTAAGAACCCTTTTTTGCACCTGATCAATAGAGGGCTCATTAGACCCTGGCTTTTAACATGCTTAAGTCCATAGGCTGAAAGCTTTTTTATTTGTTAGTTTGGTGCAAGGTCAGCTGTGTCAGCCACAAAGTTGGCATTCTCTGCAGTGGAAGCTCACTAAACCGGAGGGCCATGTGACAAACTGTCCAGCTGCAGGACAACTGATCCTCACCAGTTGTCCTTTCTTGTCTTTGAGATTTGTATGTAACCTTTCCCTCTTGAGATGACTGATGGGTACTGGTAGTAGCCAGTACAGTGTCTTTGTAAAGACTTAGTAAATACTGTTAATGATAATTTCTTATATTTGGCTAAGAAAATCGTTGGCTCCGCCTTCCTGTTTGAACCGTCAGTGCTAATGAATTTTGGCTTTTATTCACAAAGTGAACTGTATCTTACTATGAATTCTGTGCCTTTCATTCCATTTTCACTGCACTCTATTACCACACAGGGGTATTGTGATGGCCACTTTTACGCTGTTTTGAAACGTCTAGCAATAACTAAAGAAAAAACATTTGGAACTCTTCAATTTGTTATTGGAATGTATATGTGTGTATTTACGTATATACATGGTTTAATTTATACCTTATGGCAGCTCTGTGTGCATTATGATCTCACATATTGAAATTAAAGTTTCCTAATTTTACTGGAATTTATACAGTTATGAAATCACAATGTGACTATAAAAGAGTAAAAGATTATTACATCTGTATTGCATCTGTGTATTTAATGGTTAAGAAAACATTGACAACATTGGACATTAAAGAAATTCATTTTTATTTGACAATTGGAATAAGTTTTAGACCAAAAAAACCAGAGGTATTCATTAAAGAGACCTGGAAAAATTAGAAATATGAAAAGATGATGGGAAGATGAGCTTAGGAGAAACTTATAGAACAGAAATGTATATAACTTGAGGTAGAAATTGTAGAAGAAAATCCAAAAGACAATATTGCAAAAAAAAAGAGAAAAAGAAGGCTTTGTAATTTCAGATATATATATATATATATACTATAAAGCAACTTCAGGAATCTTCTTTTATGGTAAAGAATTCATATAGAATTACGTTGTTTATAATATTACTGGAGAGACAAGTTAATGGGATTTCAGGGGATTCAGACTTAATCTGAAAGTGAAATTTGTCTCTGTGAAGTAGGCAAGGAATAGGATGGAATTGAATTAAATGTATCACAGAGTTATTATTGAGAAAAGTGGGATAAAGTACACAAAAAGAACATGTGATCTGAATATCAGGGTGGAGAGGAATTTCCTGACAGTGAAATCTGTTATGATGTAGTCTCATTTCCAAGAAAAGTGTGGAGTTCCATCCCTTCTAGAATTTAAATTGAAAACTGGACAAAAACCAAAGGATTTATCCTGTACTTTACCCTGTCCATTAGGGGGAAGAAAAAACCACATGATATAATACATCTTTGCCATCTCTGTTTTCTAGAATTCTATCAGATTTTTCAGCTATAGACTATTCCTTTGGAAAGAATTTAACAAGCAGAGTTTCCTCAAATATAACCATCAGCTCATTTGATTAATATGCACTTGAATTCCCACAGGATTTATAGTAAACATGTGTTTTAGTGAATAACCATGTTACAGGCTTGGAGGGGGTGAAACTGGAATAATTCACTTAGAGCCCTAGAACTTTGTCACATTAAGAGTAGTTTGTTTCTAGAGGCCCTCTCCATTTTTGGATTTTTGACAAATTCTCATAAGTAAACAAATTCCTTGACCCATGTTAAGTTCAACATCCTGCATTTTGTTCATGAATCAAATTTTTAAAGGAGAAAAGCTCCACCTGGCCACCTTTATTTTTTAAACGGTGATTTCAAAGGGAATGTTGACCATTCATAATTGCTAATTATGACATAAGGGATTAATAGCCATAAATTACAGTAAACAAATTTTGCATCTGTTCCTTTTATAAATATGAATTAAAGAGAGTTACTATAATAGATATTTAAGATTCCAAAGTGTGCCAATTTGTTTCCTTGTAGCAATTAGTGGGATTCAGGTTTCACAATGTATATTAAAATGTTAAACACGTAATGACAATGATTTCCCATATTCATTTTGTTTAATTTGGTTGACATATACTGTGTGTTGTACCTGATTTCATATTACTCTTCTAAATTTTGCACAGAGATGCCTAGTCTAATTTGATCATATACTGCTGCATTAAAAAGAGGTATCATTGAAATTAAGTTTATTTTAAGATAGATGTTGTGCACTTTCAATTTTAATCAACTGTCCTTCAGTTGCAGGTGACAGAAACCCAATTCATACCAGTGTCAGCATGAAAGACAATTTATTGGCTCATACACGGGGAGGTCCAGACATCTTCCCATCTCCCATACTTTGATGTTCTTTTTTCCAGATTGGTTTTCTCTTCCGGGTAGACTTTCTCTTTGGGGATGTTCCTTTTGGAGTAGGTGTCAGTGAGGTGAAGATGGTGGGCAATAGTGATTGACAGTTTCAGCTTACATCATCACAACCAGTGACCCAAAACAACAGCAGAAAGAAAACCAAACCTGTTACTGTCGAGTCAGTTCTGGCTCCTGGTGACCCCAGGTGTTACAGGGTAGAACTATTCCATAGGGTTTTCTTGGCTGTAATCTTTACAGAAGCAGGTCACCAGGTCTTTCTTACATGGTGCCACTGAGTGAGTTCAAACCACCAACCTCTAGGTTAGTAGACATGCACAAACCGTTTGTATCACCCAGGAACCCCAAAAACATGACATCAAGCTATATAAATTTTCAGGAAAGTGCTTTGATTTTGCCCAGATTGGATCACATTCCATTCCTGAGCTGATCAGGAGAAGAATTCCTCCAGAGGAAGGGGAAGTTATCAGAGAAAGGAAGGTGTAGAGAGCAGGAGAGGAAAGGTGGTTACTGAGGAGACGAAAGTAACATGTCCACTGTACCCTGTTTGAACTTGAGTAGCAAGAGCTTTCTGATTTGAAATAATGTAAAGAGTAAAATTCAAATTAAACCTGCAAATCATCATCTTTTACTAGAGATTTTAATTTCTGCTTGATACCATTGTTGCTTTGAGTTATAATTATAGACTTGGTTTCCATTTGTGTTTGACATCATGTTGCTACTAGTTTGGTCAGATGCACATAGCACAAAGCATCACCAATTTAGAAACCTCTTTTTCCAGTTTCATCAATATTTCAGAAATAGTGGTTTTGAAATTAGAGTTGTACTGGAGGAGGGGGGATGCTTAAAAAATAAAGACTGCTTAAATAAAAATAAGCCCTTAAGTAAACCTTTGGGAATCTGCACTTCATTGTAAAGTATTTTATTTCAGCTCTGGTCAGTGAAAGCTATCTAAAGTGTGTGTACATACGTTCTTTAAAATGAACTATAATGTAAACATTTTCCATATTAGAATGTAGTAGACGGCACTCATTTTGAACTTCACAACCAGATGCATCCTTTAGCCTTTGACAAGCTACTATACAACTCTATGATTGCTACTTTCATTTTCTTGCAGCATAAAGTACCAAAACTCCTTAGCCTGGCATTTGGTATCCTTCGTGACTTGGCACCAACCTAATTTTACAGCTTTTTTTCAACACCCTTTGCTTTAGTAGGAGCCCTGGTGGTGCAGTGGTTAAGAGCTATGGCTGCTGACCAAAAGGTTGGCAGTGCGAATCCACTAGCCACTCCTTGAAACCATATGGGGCGGTTCTACTCTGTCCTGTAGGGTTGCTATGAGTCTGAATCGACTCGACAGCAGAGGCTTGGTTTTTTGTTTTTTGTTTTTTGCTTTAGTCACACGAAACTACATAAGGTCACTTTTCTCCTCATCCACTGCCTCCACATGACCATATCTACCTGTCTTTGAATAGTAACTGCCTTGGACCTCCCACGTAGAAATCATAGTTAACGTTTGCAGTGTATTCCTGTCCCATTTATAGCCGCTATCTTGAAGTCCCCACGAACACTGAATTAGTAAATTGTTGCCAAACCAGCCTTGTTTGACCTCAGCTAGGACTGAGTATGCACATGTCTCCAATGACCACAAAAGCACCACCAGTATTGTTAGCAAATAGGCGAATTCTCCAATACGGAATCTGCAAATAGTGAGGATTGACTGTAATAATAACAGTAATAAACTAATGTGTATTGATCACTTACTAAATGCCAAGCACTTTATGTACATCAACTCATTTAAAATTTCTCAAAACAATCCAGTGAAATAGATGGTACAGTAAAGCCCTACAGTTAAGTGGGTTGCAAAAAATTCAGTAACATAACATTGAATAGACCCATTGCCATCAAGTCAATTCCAACTCACAGCAACCTCGTAGGACAGAGTAGAACTGCCCCATAGGGTTTCCAAGGCTGTAATCTTTACAGGAGCAGATTGCCACATCTTTCTACCGTGGAGTGGCTGGTGGATTCAAGCCACTGACCCTTCAGTTAGCAGCTGAGCACTTAACCACTGCACCACCCAGGGCTCCTTATTGGTTGCATATTGCAGGCTTAAATGACAGAGTGAGCCTGTGCAACTAGTTGCCCAGGTTTCTATAGTCTTAACTGTAAGTTCCCAAATCCATCACCTGGTGGTAGATGTCCATTCAGGCTAAAATCTCCATGGAGACAATTCTGAGTCAGTCATATGGCTAGCTAGTACTTCCATGATAACAGAGTGAGCCCAAGAATCTCCCAGGTAGTTGTTGCCCATTTCATCAGCCTTATCTGAGATTAACCCACCATCTGCCGCCCCACCTCCTGAGACAGCCTGTCATTTCCTTACCTGGCTTCATTCTCTTTCTTATTCCTCACTTTTACCAAGAGTTAAGAATTTGAGAACAAGGGCTGGGTGGAGAATGGAACCAATTCATGTTTTTGTGGGGACGAATATTGACAGATTACTGTAAATCCATTTTACAGATGAGAAAGTCAGGGCACATAGAGGTTAGAAATGATACATAAATAAAAATTGGGTGTTGAGCTGGGGTGCAAGGGGTAGGGAAGATCTCTAGGTTAGAATAATTAAGGCTTTGTTATAGATTGTTATCTCCCAGTTGTAGCAGAGCCCCTGACTGATAAGAATAATACGAATAGCTAAAAACTTAAATAGAACTTAGCAGTAGTTAGGCATCATTCTAAGCACTTGTACAACTGTTAAATTACTGAATCCTCACAATTGCATGAGGTAGGTACTGCGGTATTTCTTTGAATCTAAAATGTCATTGGTGATAAGGTGTGCCATTTTATGTAACACTGTTGTTGTTAGGTGCTTTCAGGTCGGTTCTGACTCATAGCGGCACTGTGCAACAGAGTGAAACACTGCCTGGTCCTATGCCATCCTCACAGTCATTATGCTTGAGCCCATTGTTGAAGCCACTGCATCACACAGTGTTATTACGTAACACTGATAAAGCAAAAAATGCTGCCAATTAAATTATGGCATAATACCTCATGCATGCAAAAGCTGGACAATGAATAAGGAAGACAGAAGAAGAATTGATGAATTTGTATTATGGTATTGGTGAAGAATATTGAATATATCCTGGACTACCAGAAGAATGAACAAATCTGTCTTGGAAGTATAGCCAGAATGCTCCTTAGAAGCAAGGATGATGAGACTTGGATATGTTATCAAGAGGGACCAGCTCCTGGAGAAGGACATCATGCTTGGCAAAGTAGAGGGTCATTGAAAGACAGGAAGATCCTCAACGAGGTGGATTGACATACTGGCTGCAACAATGGACTCAAGCACAGCAACGATTGTGAGGATTGTGCAGGACTTTCGTTCTGTTGTACATAGGGTCACTATGAGTTGGAACTGGCTCAACAGCATCTCACAACATATAAAAAGCTCTTTTAGGAATTTCAAGAAGTCCAAGATTCCATCAATTGTAAGACCATTTTATATACCACTGTGATAGTTAAGATTGTGTGTCCACTTGGCTAGGCCATGATTCTCAGTGTTTCGTCAGTCATATAATGTTGTGATCACTTCCCTGTTGAGATTTGGTATGTGATCACCCTATGATGGGATCTGTTTCGAGTAGCCAGTCGGTTGAAAGGGAGTTTCATAGGGCATGTGGCCTGCATTGAGTGTGGGTAGACATTCTGGCAGGGCTCTGGGGCTTTTGCGTATTCTGAATCCTGCAGCTGGCTCCTGTTCACCTGACCTTCGGTTCTTGGAACTTAAGCTAGCAGCTTACCTGCAGTCTTGCCTGCTGATCTTGGGATTCGTCAGTCTTCACAGCCTGTGAGCAACAGCCCTGTTCTCCAACCTGCCAATCTTGGGTTCGCCAGCGCCTGTGGCTATGTGAATCAGGAGAAGCCCCAATCCTGACCCACGGACTTGGGACGTTCCAGCCTCTACAACCTTGTGAGCCATTTCTTTGATATAAATTTCTCTGTCTCTGTATATTCATACACTTTACTGGTTTTGCTTCTCTAGAGAACCCAGCCTAAGATAACCACTAAGACCAAAAAACATGGCCAGTTAATTGTATGACACATTCTGATGTATGCGATATTACAATATGAAAAACTGCTTAGAATTGATGGAATAAGATATTTAGATAAATTTTTATCATATCACTTATACTTACATAAAAAGAAAAATGTACATGAAATTAATTGATTACGGCTTTTCTAGAATTTGACATTCAGAGTCTTATTCCTGAATCACTTCACAACTCAAAGACCTCGTGATCAGCGGTTCTTATTTTTTTTTATTTTTTCCCGTACAAAAATTTAGACATACACTGTTATGTGACTCTAATTGCTCTCCGTGTACAGTGACAGCACACTCCTCCTTTCCACCCCTGATTCCCCATGTCCATTCAACCATCTCCTAACCCTCTCTGCTTTCCCATCTCACCTCTGGACAGAAGCTGCTCGTTTAGTCTCTTGTATCTACTTGAGCTAAGAGGCATACTCCTCATGAGTATCACTTTATGCCCCACAGTCCAGTCCAATCCCTGTCTGAAGAATTGGCCTTGGAAATTGTTTTAGTTCTGGGCTGATAGAGAATCCGGGGGCCATGCTTTCTAGGGTTCCTCCAGTCTCAGTCAGCCCATTAAGTCTGATCTTCTTACTAGAATTTGAGTTCACCCCACCTTTTTCCTGCTCCATCTGGGACTCTCTGTTGTGTTCCCTGTCAGGGCGCTCATTGGTGGTAGCCGGGCACCATCTAGTTCTTCTGGTCTCAGGCTGATGAAATCTTTGGTTTATGTGGCCGTTTCTGTCTCTTGGGCTAATACTTTCCTTGTGTCTTTCGTATTCTTCATTTTCCTTTACTCCAGGTGGTTGGGACCAAATGATGCATCTTAGATGGCCGCTTGCAAGCTTTTAACACCCCAGACGCCACTTACCAAAGTAGGATGCAGAGCATTTTCTTAATAAGCTTTGTTATGCTGATTGACCTAGGTATCCCCTGAAAGCATGATCGCCAGACCCCTACCCCCGCTACTGTGTCCCTCAAAGTGTTTGATTGTATTCAGGAAACTTCTTAGCTTTGGTTTAGTCCAGTTGTGCTGACTTCCCCTGCAGTGAGTGCTGTCCTTTCCTTCACCTAAGATAATTCTTATCTACTATCTAGTTAGTAAATAACCCTCCGCCTCCCTCCCCACCCTCGTAACCATCAAAGAATGTTTTCTTCTGTGTTTAAACCTTTTCTTCAGTTCTTATAATAGTGGTCTTATACAATATTTGTTCTGTGACTGACTAAATTCACTCAGCATAATG